CTGCGCCTTTGCAAAACAACCAGACCAGAGGCCGCCGTCCAGGCCCATCAGACCCATCTCCTCGGCGGAGTCTCGCTCACAATCCGGTTGTGGGAGTCACCCGCCCGGGCTGCAGCAGAGGCGAAAGCAGGCACCTGGGATGGGCGGTTCTCCGTGGGCTCAGCCTCGCTCCTGCGCCTTTGCAAAACATCCAGACCAGAGGCCGCCGTCCAGGCCCATCAGACCCATCTCCTCGGCGGAGTCTCGCTCACAATCCGGTTGTGGGAGTCACCCGCCCGGGCTGCAGCAGAGGCGAAAGCAGGCAAGCCGCCTGGGATGGAGGGGCCTCCCTGGCTGGTCCAGGGGGGGCGGATGAGGGGGAAGAAGCCCCCAAGGGACTTCAGGAACTCTGTGGGAGGCTGGGTTCAGGCCAGCCCCACAGAGGTGCAGTTCCTTTGGCCTGCAGCAAAAAGTGGGAGAGGCGTGCAGAAGTCACAGGCCGGTTCAGGTGGCTTTCCAAATCTTGCACAGCACCCGCACCGAAGCCGGCCTGGCCCAAGGGTTTCAGGAGTTCGAGCTGAACTCCGGGGTTTCAGGTGTTCCCCGCCCCCAATCCAGAGCCGGCCTCTGCGGGCTGAGCCGTCAGGTTCCTCTGCAGCTCCACAGGTTGCCCTGGCTGGAACCCGGTTTCTCGCTCCTTTTGTTTTGCTGCCCGCCCACCCCCCCAGCAAGGCCATGGCTGGCATCCCTTCCCACTCTGGGCGTTGACATGTACACTTCCCCTCCCTGTTCATGCTCAGGTGGAGCGTCTGGGCAACCGAGCCACACCTGGCCTCTCTTCCCCCCCCCTCTAAGAAGCATGCCATCTCTCACGCCTCTCATGGCTCTGAGCCACGGAACGGCCAGAGCAAAAGGGGTGCCACCCGGCAGCTCCTCTTGGAAATCACCAAGGGGATTCTGCAGCCACCTTCCGGCAGCGGTGCGCACACGTGCGTGCGTGCGTGCATCCTCTGCATCAGCATGTGTGCAATACACAACGCCAACACAAAAAAGCAGACCCCTTGGGGCACCTCCAAGACTTAATAGATTCATTTCCACAGGAGCCTTGATGGACTGACCTTTGTGTCTGAGAAGGAAGATGGCAACCCAGAAAGCTACCACAGAAATTGGTCTGAGAGCCTTTGAGGTACCACATGACATCTACTCTCTCTCTTCCTAGATGTCCCAGATCAACCAGGAAGAAAGAGGATGGCCATACTCATCTGCGGCATGAAAACTAGCAAAAAGTACCTGTAAGCTGATGTGACCACACTGAAGCTACTGTATTTGGGGCAAATTTTTAGAAAACAAGACTGGCTGGAAAAGAGTGCAATGCTAGGGAAAAAAGGAGAAGGGAGTAGGAAAAGAGGAAGACCAAACATGAGATAGATGGAGCAACTCCTATACAGGAAGCCACAGCTTTAAGTTGCAATGCTGAGCCAGGCTGTTGAGGATAGGGTGCTTAGAAGATAGCTCAGTCATAGGATTGCCTTAAGTTGGAGGCAGCTTGATGGCACAGAGCAAGAGTAACTCCACCAGGAAAAGGGAAATGGAGGCAGAGTTCTGATTTTCCATGAAGACTGGTGTCCACCTTTGACTGCTGCTTAGCGTTATCAGACCCTGCATTTAGCTTGATAAGTCTGGCTACAGAGACAAGTTCAGAGGAGGGCAACTGGGATGATCAGGGGCCAGAAAACCAAGCCTTTGGAGGAGGAAAGACAAAGAATGGGGAATGTTTAGCCTTGAGAAAAGAAGATTGAGGGGAGAGAGAAGAGCATTTTTCAAATCCTTGAAAGGCTGTCGTAAAGAAGAGGGGCAGGATCTGCTCTCCATCATCCTAGAGTGCAGGACAGGCAACCATCGGCTCAGGTTACAGGAAGCCAGATTGTGGTAGAGTATCAGGGGAAAACTTCCTATCTGTTAGAGCAGTACAACGATGGAACCCATCATCTTGAGAAGGGGGGAGCGCTCCAACACTGGAGGCCCTCAAGAGAAAATGGGACAACCCTGTCAGATCTGCTTTGATTTGGGTTCCTGCCTCGAGCAGGAGGGGTTGGACTGGATGGCCTTAGAGGCCCCTTCCAACTTCACTATTCTATGATTCTATGACACAGAATTTATTTATCTTCTGATAATTATATTTGTGCTTTAACTGATAGTTATTGATCATTTATGCAGTTACATTACCTATCAGTCTTTAGTTGTGTGGTTTTATTCCATTTACACCATGAGAGATTTTTAATGTCTGTTTTGCAATTAATTGTGCTGCTATTTATGCTCTTTCTGTTTCATGCACCGTAATGATGCCATCCCAATAAAGTGAAGGAAATCCTATGCTGGTGGAATGGCAATGCCCACTGCTCTTGGGGGTCACTGCACACACACCCAGAAGCCCCCCCCTTGCTCAGTACCCTGGCCCACCTCCCACTAGAAGGCTGGCCCAGAAGCACATCATGACACAAGAAACTTCAGTCGTGAGAACGATCTTTAATGAGGAAACAGAAAAGCACTGCAGGTGCTAAAACAGCCATTACAAGAGTATTCCAACACGTACCTTATTATGGGGTTGGGGGGAGAGGAGGCGGGGGGGCGGCTGGGCTCACAGGCTGGGTCCGTTGCTCCTGCGGTCCTGGAGCAGAGGACTCCCTTGCGCCTGGCCCCCCCCCCACACACACACACACATATGGGGACCCACTAGTGGGGGGTGGGGTGGGGGGAAAGTGCACAAGTAACAATTCACAGTTCACACTACCTCACGGGGGTGGGGGTGGGTGGGGAGTCCTCTGGCCAGAGCACAGGGTGGGATTAGGGGTGGGGGTTTAGCACCATCATGTCGGGCGAGGGGTTGGCAGTGGTGGAAGTCCGGGGGGGGGGAACAGAGCCTGCTGGCTTCTCTTGGGTCCCCCCAGCTCTGCGAGATGGCAAATTCTTTGGGATCCATTCCTCCCCTCAAGGAGAGATGCCCCACCTGGCAAGGAAGAAGGCCAGGGAGTGCCAGATACCAAGAACAGGCACGGGGGGGGGGGGGAGGGCAAACGGCCATCTCATACCCCCCTCGCTGCCTCTCCCCACCCCCACCTGCATAAGGAAGTGGCCAGGACTGGCCCTTGGCTCTGGGACTCACTCCAGTTGGAGAGGGAGGGTATTTGGGGAGGTCAGACACTCCTGGGAAGCCCCTGCCCCCCAGAAGGGTGGGGAGGGAAGGAGGGAGGAGGAAGACAAGGGGGGGGGTCGGGCAGAAAAGCCTGACCACCAGAGCCTGCTTTAGCCACTACTGGGCAACCTCCCTCTTTCCGCTGCCTGCCCCATTCTGCTGGGCGGGGAGAGAGGTCACAGGGGTGCCCACCCAGCTCGGCCCTGGCTCTGCTGTGCCAGCGCTAAGCCCCCCCCCGCCCACCTCCAGGCCCTCCCTCAGTGAGGAACCAGGAAGCAGCTCTGGAGGAAAGGTGGAAGCCTGCAGCGCTGCCTCCTGGGTGGGGTGTGTGTGTGTGTGTGTGTGTGTGTGTGCGGGGGGGGGCAGAAAAGGGAGGGGCTGGCTCTCCCCCTTCCAGCCATGGGCCCCTCCCCACAATGCATCTGCCAGCCTAGAACAGCCCCCTCTCCCACCCCACTCCGTGCCTCCCCCTCGTCTATCCTACCGCTACTCACACAATGCACCTTATTTCAGTACATATTTTTCCACGTGATGCACAAACAAGTCAGAAGTCACTTATTCAAAAACCCAACGTGCAAAAAGAAGGAAAGAAAGAAGGAAAGAAAGAAAGAAAGAAAGAAAAAGAAGGAAAGAAAGAAAGAAAGAAATAAAAAAGAAGGAAAGAAAGAAAAACAAGAGAAAGAAGGAAAGAAAGAAGGAATGAAGGAAAGAAAGAAAGAAAGAACCCCCGGCAAGCACTAGGGGCAGCTCCCACCTTCTGCTGGGACCCACAAGGCAGAGACAGGCCCTCCTTCCCTCCCTCGGTGCTGCATCGCCCTTGTCTTCAGGGCAGCTCTGGTGTGAGGAGGGGGCTCGGGCGCCACCCCCTCCGCCTCCTTCCCCCGGGGGTCCGCGTGGCATCGGGCACGGGGCAGCAAAGCGCAGGCCGGTGTCAGTGGCTCCGGTGGAAGAAGGCGTGGCGGCCTTGAGCTCACAGGGTGTGTGTGGGGGGCAGCTGGGCAAGTGGGGGTGGCGATGGTGTCCTTAGTTGGGGGACACGTCCGGTGGGCAGCTACCAAATGCCGCTAGACCGGCCTCCGGGGGGAGCGAGAATCCGGGCCGAAGCTCGCTTTGGAACATGGTCATCGATTTGAGAACCTGCAGTGGAAGAAAGAGGGGAGGGGAGGAGAGGGGGCACGGGGTCAGACCTCCTTGGGCCAAGGGGGCAACACTTCCTGTGTCCCTGATGAAGACGGGGAAGGAGAAGCGGCAGCTGGCATCGGGTGCACCGTCTCCCCTCCCAAACTGGGGGAACCAGCCTCCTGACCTCCCAAGTCCAGAAAGGGTGCCCGGCAGTGCTGGCAAAGCGGGGGGGGGGGGCAAAAGCAGCAACCAAGGGTGGAAGCGCAATGGCTGGCAGAGGACCTGGGGCTGGAAGGAGGCACTGCTGTGGGACACCAAGACCCCTTTTCAAAGGATGCAGACACACACAAGTTTGAATGAACACACCCAGCGAGCCAAGCAGACGGCAAGGGCCCCCCCTCCTGCTCTAGCTCCCTGGGGGGGGGTTCCTCTGCCCCAGCTCACCCCAAGGGGCAGAGCCATCAGAAATGGAACCCCTACTATGGCACGCTTGAAACTTAGTAGCTGGGCCATCTGCCCCACCTAATTCCCCAGAGCCCCATGGAGTCCAACCCCACAGTACAGAAACACAGAGACTGAGCCCGTCCCATGAGAACGGAGAACGGGTTGGGCTCAACGGAAGCCATGCTCCTCACCAGGTGCGAAGGCAAGCAGCACACCTGGAACTCCCAGCCCGGCAGGTGAGAGGGGAGAGGGGAACCCTTAACACACACCCTCTCGGCCAAACCCCGACCAAAGCTGCTCTTGGGATATTTCGCAGCCGCCTTTAAGGGGAGCCTCTTCGAAACACAGGGGTGTGCCTTTAGAGCCCAGAAATGGCCTGGCTGGGCACTTGCCCAGAGAGTTACCGCCCCCCCCCCGGAATGAAGGAGAGGATTCCTGTTGGGGCTTGTGGGAGGAAGAAAAAGAGGCAACTTTCCCCTCGTGAGCCACCCAGCAACTGTGATACAGCACCAAAAAGAGGCACCAAAACAAGGCTTGGGCACCGGCTGAGGCACCCACCCGGGCACAGACACATGGCAGTTCTCCTTATCCATCGGTAGCTTTCCTGGTGGCCCAGCCTTCCCGATCTGGAAAAGGCACCTGGGAGAGAATGCGTGTTGTGCCGCTTTCCCCTGGGCCTTGACTGAGAAGCCACAGGGCAGCTCACTAGCCCTGGGATGGCCGTCCAGGGCATGCGCAGGCGCAGGCGCACCCTCGGCCATCGCCTCCAGCAAGAGCAAAGGTCCTGGACCTCTCCCCCAAGACGACCACCCTCTCAAAACATCCTCTCCTTTGCAACTCGTTTTGAAATGAATTTCTTTGCTATCCAAAGGAGTGAAAAGGGTTGAGATTTTCGTGGGAGGAATTTCTGGTTTAGGATTAGAGCTGGGAACCAATCATGTCACACCATTTCTGTCCCAACCCACCTGTGTTTTTTTGGGGGGGGAGGGGGGAGCATTTTGGGCCCAATTCAAAAAGCTGCTTCTGACCTTTAAAACCCTAAACTCTGTGGGTTTAGTTTAGACGAAGGATCGCTCCGACGGTTACCAACCTGCCCGGATTTAGAGACCTCGCCAGCAGGATTCCTCTTCACTAGCCTGCCTAGAACCCACTCTGGCCACCTCATCAGCTAGCCCAGCCATGACTAGCTCTGCAGGGAGTCACCCAGTTACACCATGCAAAGGATTTTGGTCCCAATCTCCCCAGAGACCCGACTACAACTGGCCTGGAATCTTCCACCTTTTCAGAAAGTTTGGGCTTCTGTGGGTTTTAACGGTCCTGCCTTGTCGTTCACGTCGCTTTTCTTCCTGGGTTTAGATACATTTCTCCCAACTTAATGTTTGAATGAGCACTTTTAACATCACCGTTCCTTTGAAATGAAGTGGCTTACGATGCTGCACGGGGAGCCGGCAATATTTCACGGCATGACCGCAGAGAAGCCCAGGCCACTTGACCCCTCTGCCCAGGTCCTCCCCGGCTCTCAATGTGTGGCACACTGAGAAAGCGTTGAGGTCAGCTGTCCCACGTACTCTTGGCGTGGCCTCTCCGTGGACAAATGGGATGCCCTGTACTTAGGGAATGGCACTGCGGTTTTCTGACATGAGCAAAGGTGGTTTTAAGCTGCCTCCCGAAGAGCAGGAAAGCGAGCGCCCATTCGGAGGATGATGGATGCTGTCACTTGGATGCCTCCCAACCCCCAACCCCCATCCCCCC